CAAGTACACTTACTGCTCAGTGCAGCTGAATCCAAAAGGGATAATGCTGTCTTCTTATTACTGCTTCTTGCATGAAAAGCTATTGTGGGAGTAACTCCTCTGCGCGGTGTCTGTCTCTGTGTGCTGCTGCACTTTTGTTTTTTTTCCTGCAGAGTTGCACATTCTGGTTGTGTTGGGCTGTGACTAACGTAGCCAGTGATGTTCTGCCAGCGTTTTAGCAGGGGATTCCCACAGGAATTCCCCTGCCTCTCCTGTGTGCCAGCAAGGAGTTGTGTGCACCAAGAACAGATGCACTTCAGTTACGTGTTTTGTGCCGTGGGATAACAAAGGCTCGTATTTACTTCTCTTTGTTGGAAGGGATGGTACCAGCTCGCTCGCTGGTGCTGGAGAGGGGTTAGCCCTGTCCCAGGAGCCGGGAAGGACTGGCCAGGAGTCCCTGCTCCGGTTCTGTTCCCGCTGTGAAACCTTGGCAACACTTTCATTTCCCCCCCTCTTCTTTCATTTTCAAGCATTCTTTGTTTGAGCTGTGAACAAAGCCTGTTTTTAGTAAGTATTTGTACAGTGCCTATCTCTCTCTGGGCTCTGCTTTCCTTTGGGATCGCTGGGTGCTTTGGTAGGAATAATAAAATTAAAATTGGACATCGCTCCAACAAGCTGCTGGTCAGAGTGCTCTCACCAAGAGCAGGCGCTGCTGTTCCACATCCCAGAGCTTCCAAAAAAACTGTGTGAGACCCACAGAAACGTAGATGGCCAGTTAGCTACACCGGACATACACAGATATCCAGCTAATTGCAGAGATTCCTTCACCTCACTGATGATTTCAGAACGTTCCAGAGCTGGGCACAATGTGTACATTTTTATTCCTGCTGCTCTTAAGGAGGTGATGCATAAAATTAACCACGAGCAATTACTGTAACAGCAGCAAACTGCCCCTTTTTCAAGTTTGAAGTTATTAAAGGGAGTGGCTGTCAAGGTGTATGTGTATAATGTATGGATCCATGTATACTTGTATTAAAAATTAAGGATTATATATAAAAATTTCAAAAGAGTTGGCCTGGCTCATGCTCTTGCTAAAGCTGTGCAGTGTTATGCACCATTCAAAGCACACAACTGTGGTTCCCCTCACACAAAGGCTATCTTTGTTTTTTAGGGTGAAGTCATGGTCTATTTTAAAACTCGGTGTTTTAATAATGAAGTTCCCTGGAAACGGGAGGAAATGAGACCGTGAGGTTTTGCCCTGATAAAAACCAAGCTGGAAATCGCCAAGTCAGCTGTGGATAAATGTGCATGTCATAGTTTATGGTTTCAGCTTTCCAGTTTTATTCCTCTTCTCTAAATGTTTCGGAAGAAATTACAAAGCTCCCACCAGTGACCTCACACAGACACGTTCTGCTTGCTTTAGGAACGTTTTCTGACTGTGGAGATGCAATGACAGTGGGGGGAAAAGGCACTTCACACCTTTCATGTTTGTTTCTGGTAGATGTCATTGAATTGAACTCTGTCCCTCACTGCCAGCTCTGTTCTGGATATTCTCCTGATGTGGTTCCAGAGCACTGGGGACACCCAGCCTGAGGCTGAAAGCCTCTCAGAGGTGTTTGTGCTTAAAGGATGGTCAGCACTGCCTGTCTGCTGTTGGTGATGGTAATGGTGATAATAACCTATTATTAGTACAGTGAAATTTAGGCACTGGAAATGTGGTGTGAAATGGCTGGATCGAAGATCTCTAAAGACCCCTTCATCTGGCTTTATTGAGGAATATTTTATTTAGTTTTAGTAGAAAAATTACCCAGCTAAACTAGCTGAAGTTATTTGGGCATTTAATCTTCTTTTGACACCAGTGATTTAAAGCTCTCTTTTTTTACTGCAGGGTCTTAAGGGAGAGATTATCAAATAAGTTGCAGAAATTTGTATGACCAGGGCAAATTTTTTTCTGTTTAGCATGTCTAAGCTTAAAAAAGCAAAGATGCTGAGCTCTCAAAGGAGTGTATTTTGGCAGCAGAGGTGACTGACAGCAAAGTTACTTCCATTTTCTCAACAGTTACTTGGTTTTCAGAAGTTTCTCACCCCCTTTGCTGGCTTAATGCCACCAAGGAAACACTGTGTGGACTGGAACGATTGTGCTTTAAAGGTGCAATGCCCCTGGAGTGATGAGAGATGCAGGAGGAAATAAAAGAAATTGATAAATCCTTTTTTTAACTGCCATTCTAAAGCAGCAGAAGGGCAGCACCTTTTAAGAACTTGTTGGTGTACAGGAGGAATTTTCCTGCTGCTGCATGAGAAGGAAATGCTGGACGTTGGCAGAATGGGGCTTAAAACGTTGAAAACTTCAGGAGAATTGTGAGAAGTCGTCTTTTAAAATAAAACCACTTCAGTTCTCCTTTTCAGGTGGCTTGGATTTAGGTTGAAATGCCTGTGGAAATTTAGGTGGAAAGCCCGTGTGGCTCACAAAAGCGCCCCGAGTTTTCTGTCAGCCCACACAGCCAGCTCTGCACGGGAGAAAATGGTCAAAATACCTACTGCAAATGGCAGAGGTAACAGGTTCCTCTGTAAATCTTCATTTCCAAGAGCTGGTACACCATTTCACCTTTAGTGGTGTTATTTGGGGACCAGGTAACATGGTGTGCTCGTGCAGCTCTCACACAGATTAACAGTTGTACATTTTTTTTTTTTTTTAGTTGGTTATTTAAAGTTATTACACAATTCAGAAATAAACAAGGCTCTTTTGCTTGTTCCTTTATGGCTTGGGTGATTTGTTGCATCTTCTGAGGGTTTGTTTTTTTATTTATTTCTGGTGCATGCAGCTGCTGGCAGTATGAAAACACAGCAGTGCAAGTGTCTGCATCAGATATCAGTGTTGCAGGTAGGCAGGCTGGCTGCTTTCCTTTGTTTCATTGGCAGGTTAATGTAGTTGTCACAGCATTAAAGGGTAAACAAATAACAGGTATTTCCTTGTTCCCTGTTTTCTGGGTACATGATTTGAAGTGTTAGTTTATCCTTAACAATGGCCTTTCTTTTTTTTTTTTTTTTTTTTTTTTTTTTTTTTTTTTTTTTTTTTTTTTTTTTTTTTTTTTTTTTTTTTAAATTATATCTCTGCTCTTCCAGTAAGAGGTTATCAGTCATCTAAAAGTTACCAGCAAGCACGGGATTAACTCTTCATTTCTTTGCACCTGCACAATGCTGATAAAAAGCTTCAAGAAGATTACAGGAGGATCACATAGTAAGAGATAGCTAGTCGCTTGTCAGTTTTTATTCCATTTGTTATTTTGCAATAAAAGACTGAAGTCTGTTTTTCCCCCTCAGCTTTGCACATGTGATACCTTGCCTTGTTACTAGGAGACAAGGTATGATGTGTGTGATGTGTATGTTCCTCTCCTGGAGGAGTTTTAGCCACATAATCACAGGAATGTTGGCTGGTCAGTCTATTGCTATTTAGCTTTTAGAAAGTCTAAAACGCTGATGCTTTTTTGTTTGTTCAGGGAGGCTTTGAAGAAATCTCCTGGCTGCCCTTCCCAGACATGCCTGTATATATGTGATTTTTGTATGCATATAAATGTATTTTTTTTCCTTTTGATAATCAATATATGTTCTCCCTGAAAATTTCTTGAGCTTCCTTACTCGTCGATGGTGTGGCTTTTAATCTGGTTTCCTGAGGAAGTGGGGTTTATGCATTGTGCTCTCCTGTCCCTCCTTGCTCCTCAGGGTCATTGCAGAGAAAAAGGGATAAAGAGCTCCAGAATAATTTTTTTTTTCTCTTCTTTTTCCTTTCTGCTTTTCCAAAATTCATTAGCTGGATAGAGTAGTGCCTGGAGAGAAGGAGACAGGTGGGCAGAAGCATCAGGATGGGCAGCTGGACAGGGGACACTGCCCTGGTCGGTGCTTGCTGGTGCTGGGAGAGGGGCCCAGTGGAAAGCTGGCAGGGTGGGAGGGATGGACGTGATGGTGAGGGCAGCTGGAGGAGCCTGGCATAGCCAGGAGAATCCCTCTGTGTGATCTTGTGTCCCTTGTGATCAGCAAAACCCATTTTTACTGTGGGGTCATAAAATCAGACTTGTGTTTTATTTGTATTAGGGTTTTTGATTTGTGGCCCAGTAAAAAATGTTGGCATTGGCTGGGGAGGAAGACAGGTGGAAGTGTATGGGTTGGGCTGTTTGCTTGCTGCTTCACAAAGGGAGATGGACCTTCCCTCTAGGGTTTCTCCACTCGTGCACCAGGAGTGTGTTTTCCATGTGTGTAAATGTGGCATTACTTCATCTTCCTGCTGTGAGATGATGTTGTAAAAACCACGCTTTCATAATTTTTTTCCCTTCTCTGAAAGAGAGGCTGCTCTTGCACAAGCTGCATATTGTCAGCTCAGATTAGGGCATAAAATCGCTGCAGTGAGAGAGAAGTCAGGAAGGGACCTGGGTTAGGATATTTCTCCCCCTCCCATGTGGGTGGGAGATATCAGCCACTTCTGCCGGTGCACTGGGATTGGTTTAACAACAAAGCTGATGCTCCTTATCAAGCCTTCCTGAAACTCAGTCAGCCTTGCAACAGGTTCCACTTTGTCAACCAAGTTTTAATTGCAACTGAGCATGAATTGCCATGTGTGCAAATTCCAGTATGTAAATAAAGTTTCTTGGGCTCCTCTTCGGAGGGATCTTACACCGTGCTTGTTTCAGCCAGAGTCTGGGGGAAGTTTCATGCATTTCAACTCAGTGAAATTTGGTGAAAATGAAAGTAAGCGCTGGTGAAATTACAGTAATAATAGCAAAGCACGTTTTCTTCTCCTGGAGTGGAGTCCCACTTAGCCTGGCGTTAGAGCATCTCCACCGAGTCGCAGCAGTTGCCATCAGAGAAGCCCCCTCCCCTTCCCACATTTATTTCCATGGTAACCCGGGAAAGGCATTCTGCAGCCTCAAAACTACTTTTGCTCTTTCATCATGCAAGCTGGCATTGTCAAGGGCTGTGTGTATTCCTACAGCTTTGAATGAATATAAAAAAAAAAAAAAAAAAAAAAAAGGGGGTGTGGGGGGGGAGAGACACCGAAAAGCCTGAATTTCGCTGGGCACTTTTGATTTGGGAGGCCCTGCAGGAGGACAGAACGGGCAACCTTCAAGTGACCTGGTGTCCCTCCGCTGCTTAGTAAGGACAGAACAGCCTGGCTGCATCGATGGGTGATGGGGGAGGTTTGGGGGGTTATGGGGATGGCGGTGGGTGGGCGAGGGGCAGATGGCGGGGGCTGGCGAGGCGCCGGTGAGCGTTGCACGCTGCATGCTCCGCTCCAGTGCCGCCTGCTCATGGAACCCTTCGTGCTGTTTTCAGGTATCCTTGGGAAAATGGTGTCTTGCTACCAAACAACTGTGCCTGGGCATCAGCCTTTCCCTGCTGTGCAAGGAGGGGGTGTTTGGTGGTGGTGGTGGTGGGCAGTGCTCGCTCAGTGCGAGTGATTTAGCGGTGGTCGAGCGCTTGCTGCGGTTCCTCGCGGCTCCCTAACGAGCTGTGTTGATTTTACGCTTTTTAAAACCCGTATTTATGCGGCATTTGCGTGTGGATGTTGAGGGGGTTTCATCCCGTTTGAGCTGGCTGGGGCTGCCCGCTCTCCGTGATAAAACATGTGGGGCTGGTAGTGCTTGGTAAAAGGAAACCCAGTTGCTTGCAAACAGTGCCTGCAGATGGGGAGGAATGAAATGATGTTGTAAGTAATTCCTTTTAAATTATTCTGAAGGTGGTCCAAGCGTGGTCAGAAATGTTTCAAATAGCATCCTCGTCCTGTGTGATAAATGGATTGGACAGATTGATAATTTGAATTTTCTGCCGGTGCCTGTTTCCCTGTTGTCTGAGTACCTGATTCACGGTGCAGGGAAGGTATTGATTAAAATGGATCAGGGGTGCTGCCTGATCAAAGGGTTCGGTTCTGTTTGAGTGGTGTGGGACAAGCTGGCAGGATTTTCTTTTCCTTCCTTACATTATTTGCTTGGGGAGGGGTGAAAATGCAGCTTTTTTTCTAAATGTATCTGAAGTACATAATGACTGGGGAGTCACCATGACAACGTGGGGACCTGGATCAGGCTCTCCCTCCACGCCTTTTCTGTTCTGTTGTTTTTAAAATATTTGTTATTTAGACATTCTGTGAGGTGTGTTTGAGGGAGTATCTCACAGCTCCTGTTGCTGTGGGACTTTTGATGATACCCAGCTCTTAAAGTAAATGAGGTTTGCAGGATTTTCTCTGGTTAAGCTCAGTCCAGTGTATGTAATTTGCTGTACAATTAAGGTGGCATCTAAGCAGGGACATGAGCACCTCCAGAAGGAGTTAAGGGTCTGCCTCTCCCACAGTTTTGGCATTGCAAATCTGAAAACTTCTGCTGAGCTCTTCTGTGGTCCTGGGGCTTCCTGTGTTCCTCTGGTGTGTCCCCATGTGGGACAGGGTAATATTTTGGGGTGATCCAGCTCAGGAATCTTGTAGATGATTATTTACTTTGGGGAGTAGACATCTTACCTGGAGATCTCTCCCTTAAGTGCTGTCTTCTGCCTCCTCCTGGCAGGTTTTCTAGGGTTGGAGAGCAGGTGTTTGTTTTATACTTGTAACAGCAGCCTATATAATCGATAGTGAATTTAGTGGAACTACAAGTAGTAGGAGAGGTTCTGTGGAGGTGACATTTCAGTGTCAGCAGAGGAGGGTAATTATATACTTCTGCACTATCATAATACTTGTTGATGGGGGAAAAAGCCTCCGCTGTGATTTGGGTAAATGGAAGTTAAAATCATAGCAGCTGTCACTCGTGCCTGTGTAAACTTGGAAAGAAAGAATGGTTTCTGTGACATTTTCTGAGAACAGGTGGATTACTTGCCCTTGTGGCAGAGCTGTGAGATGTTTCAGCATTGAGGCAATTGAAAAGTAAGTCCAGTGTGGCAGTGACTTTGTCTTATTCCCCTATATCCTGACATGAGAACATGAAGAACCCCCTTTGCTTCTTCAGGCCCATTAACCTAATGTTTTGTTTGCTGCTACATGAATAATATAATGGTATCTTTTAATTTGGAAAACTGTTGAGTTCTGTCTAGTTGCTGGGGCTAAATTTACAAGTTATGTTTGACAGCAATTACCTGGAACTGGGTAGGATTGTCTCCTTTGAGGAACCTCATCCTTGCGTGACACGGCCCATTTCCCCTTTTCCTTACTGTTACCTGATGTTACCATTTCAAACACAGCAAGTGTGCTGGAAATCCAGTCCTTTGGGAATTCATCTCAAGTATCCTGAGAAAAAGATTTCATTTGAGCCAGAGGCTCAAACAATGAGAGAAATCCATGATGAGAGGAACAAGTAAGAGCAGGAGCCTGGTGGAATTAGCTTATACACATTTTTGTGTTTACATACTTTGCTTTCAAGATTGTTAGAGTTAGGAAACATACCATAATGCTAGAGGGCAAAAACTTGAAAGTTGTGAATATAGGAGTAATTAAAAAACAAACCTAAATTCACCCTTCCCCTCCCCCCTCAAAAAGCCCAACCACAAACAACAAAACAAAACTCCCTTCTCGTTCCCAGGGTTGGAGTCGAGCTTGGTACTGTAAGGAAATCCAAACCTCTAATGCATGAAAATCCAATGGGGATAGGGCAGATTGACACTGGTGATGCCATTACAGCATCCTTGGTACTTAAGGGTGTCAGTGGTGGAAATGAGGCTTTTTCCTCCCCCTGCTCTCAGCAGGAGTGCTCCGAGATCTCAGTGACAGTCACCTGAAATCAAGCTGTTTGTATTTCGGTTTTTTCCGATTCATTTTGTCAATTTCTAAGTGGGGAAAGGAAAGAGAAGAGAGTGGGTTTCAGTCCTAGAAAACAGGATTTAATTAATTGGTGGTATTTTATTAGGAACAAGGCGGTTTTGCTGTGTGTCAGAGACTGGCATTAGCTTGCAGTGTAATCCTGCTTCTTGGCCCTTCCCAGTAGGTGGGGAGTGTTGGTGTATAGGCTGACGTGAAAGACTGCACCCAAGGCTAAAAAACTCCTTCCAACTTACAGGGTCCCACTCATCACCCCTTCAGAAAAGTGAAGACTTCATCACAGTGGATAAACTCACAGTTCAATGTTAAAATTGAATTCTGCTTTTATGGAGCTATTGTTCTTTGCCTCACTCCCCCACCCCCCGCAAAGAAGTTTCTGCCTTTGCAAGTTCCAACAGGAAACCAAAACTGAGCTTTTTCACTCAAGCCTGGGATCAGTTGAAGTTTAATTTCCCCTATAAATGCAGATGTGGGAAATAAAAAACCCTTGCCACAAAAATGGTAGAGATCTGGGGGAAAAAAAAAAACCAAAAAACAACACTTCACTGAAAAAAAGCTCAAGGTCTCAACTCCTTTGGTTATGAAAGACAAGCTGGTTTAACTTGGGTTGTATTTAGTGAATGAGTGGTAAGAATGGCGTGGTTTCAGAAGGTGGGAAGGCTAAACAATAAAGTAACAAAGCAACAGCAGTGCAAGTAAGAACACAAACACAACTATGTTATGAGGCCCAGAATGAGTGGCAATGGGTACAACACAGAGAAGGCTAAAGGAGCTCCCGTGCTGGTCCTGCCAGGTGTTGAGTTTCCTCTTCCAAAGGAGCTGCCCAGTGCTCTTGTGTTCCTCCTGAGCAGCCTGGATGGAAGAATATGAAGAGCTTCAGGACTGGACCCTTAAAGAGTTAAACGCACAGAAGTACTAATCAGTGAATATCTAGGTCATGGAGGACTGAGACTGGAGCAAGATGGAACATTACTGACAGCCAGGGGGTTTATGTTGGTAATGGACTGGAGAATATCTTCCATCTAGTAGTAACACCAGATTTTGACTTTGCAGTGGTACTTTCTGTTGTGTTTGTGTTCTTAGTTGCACTGCTGTTGCTTTGCCAGGGGTGAGGTGGGCAATGAGTCTCTAAGTGGGCTTTCTAGAACCATTGCTTGTGTCTTTCATCATGCAGCAGTAGTTGGAGGTGACTTCCTTATAATAGCAGACATTTTGAAGATTAAACGTGGGTAAAGTGTTGCCTTTTCTGGGGCAATGCTTACAAAATTCAATGTCTTTCTGCGGGGCTCTGAGCCCATAAACCACTTCTCAGCCGTGTGGGCAGTCCCGGTTTGAAAGCTGTGGGTCAGTGTTCGTGGGGTTCTGTGTTGCAGCTGTGAGCAGTGCCCCTGAAATCCGTGGGATGACTCGTGCTCAGGCCCATGTCCACAGTCAGGCTTGAAAAACTTTGATTTAACCCCCCTGAGTAAGGTCTGCAAGAATCTGTTGGGTCCCAGAAGCTCGATCTGACTGTGCTTGTACCTGTTTGAAGCAATTCTTGTCAGGGGGGACTTTCCCTCAAGCAGAGCCAGGGTAATAATGCCTGGGAAAGAAAAGGGTTAGCACAGGGTTTTAGAGCGTGTTGTGAGAAGGGCTGGGTGTCAGTGGTTTGGAGAAGAATCCACTGAGCAAAGCTTACTGAAAATGCTACATCAATCAGTGGGACTTCTTTTGTTTTATGGTTAGTGTCTGTATTTACATGGGAAAAGCAGGGTGTCTGCCTCAGGAGAGAATTATCTGTATTTTGGAATAATTTGAGTATTTTCCTTGGCAGTGTTGAGAATTGCACAAACTGTGCTATTACCATCAATGTTCAAAGAAAATGAAGAGAAACTTTAGTATAGGTGTAAACCCTGAGTAGCTCCCACACCCTCTGAACTGATTAGAAAAGTAACTTAAAATGTCAAGGTAATACAGGCAATTCCATTAATTGCCACTAATATGCTAATATTGCCATTAATATGGTAGTTTCTTCTGGTTTCTCATACTCCCAGGGAAGTGGAATTACATGCTTTTTTAAACTTTGAGGTAAAAACATAACATACACTTTGCTGCGTGCAACAGAACTTGCATATCTTCCTACTTTCAGAATATTCTTTTTTTGCATGAGTTTTAGCATGGGTTGACCAAGGAAGAGGAATTGCTGGTTAGACTAAATGGTGGAATCTTTGCACTCGAGAGAGAGAAATTGTTCTCAAAATTCAAACGTGGCTGTGGGCTCTTGAAGCCAAGAGCTTCGAGAGAATATCTGTGACCTTGGTTTGAAAGATTGTTCTGTCTCTTTCTTCCATGAAAATAAGTAGTTTCTACTGTATGGATT